GCACAGATTTTTTATCTGATACTTGACTTAAATTATGATTTACATCCAATCCTAAATGTGTGCTCAGTAGATCGCTGATTATTTCCAACCGTGCAGTATTACTTTTTTTCAGCTCGTTAAATTTATCTCCCTCATATACATATTTCATTGGATCTATCTCTAAATGGATTTGAGAGAACACCACTTTACCACCACTATTAGGCAAAGTTGCGAGTAATATGCTTGGACTATGCCATGTTTCTTCTCTACCTAATACTTTTACATCAAACGAATGTAAATTTCCCTTTTTGTCCTTAACATTAGTTGACGTTGGAGTATTCAATGTGGACGTTCTAAAATATAACAAATAATTGGATATAATTGCGCGCGCGCGCGCGCGATATTTTTTCCAGATTTATTTTGGTCTAATATTTTTCTTTTTTTCTCACGATAATATAATATATAATATTTTATTTTATTAATACAATGAAGATATTACCTTGTATCTTCATGATCTTGAGAAAAACGAGTTCGTACAGGGGATGCATGATAGCAAAAGATGTGATGCATCATACGCACTTGTTTCCATTTACCATACGAAAAGTGTACGAGTTCATTCTCACGTACTTCGGCAGTCTTGAATGATGGTAGCAAAATATGTAACATGTCAGAGCATAACGCTAAGAGTTTGCCTCCTTGTATAATGTACTCTACAAGCTGAGCACCGAGCTCTGCACCAACATTACCACAAAGAACTACTAAAGAAACCTGATCTATCCAAATTTTGCAACTATTATAGTCCCCTTTACAAAATACATGGATGTCATACCTGTAAAATCATATGAAAATTATATAAAACTATAGAAATCAAAGCCTTAAACAGCTGGGTCTTAAACGCTTGTATGATTCTTGTGTGAATTTATATACTACGTAATCCCCAGAAACGCGCACCGAAATAATTTTTTGGTCTTGAAAACGCTAACTCTACTAAACTAGTAGTAATATTACGAGTTAAATTGACTAGCAATTTAACAAATTTTTGATGTTTATTCGCATCTTCGAAACGATCTTAATAATGTTGAATAACATATTAAAATCTGTAAATAATTAATTCTTATTGCGAAAAATATTGTCTCGGCCGGGAGTCGAACCCGGATCTCTTGCATTCCATGCGAGCGTCCTAAGCCTTTAGACTACCGAGGCATTTTATTATTTTTCGCAATAAGAATGAATTATTTACAGATTTTAATATGTTATTCAATGTTATTAAGATCATTTCGAAAATGCGAATAAGCATAAAAAATTTGTTAAATTGCTAGTTAATTTAACTCGTAATATTACTGCGGTAGTTTAGTAGAGTTAGCGTTTTCAAGACCAAAAAATCATTTCGGCGCGCGTTTCTGGGGACTACATACGTAGTATATAAATTCACGCAAGAATCATATAAGCGTTTAAAATCCAGCTAAACCATTTAAAGCTTTGATTTCTATAGTTCGCATTATCACATATATGGTCCTATAATACATTATATTAATTATATAAAACTTATGTTATCTCATAAAAAAGTAATGATTTATAACTAATAATTAATTAAATAAATAACTCAATTATCTGCAGAAGCAAGTTGTTAAAATTTATTATATTTCGACACAACTTACTGACAAACTTATATATATAATTTTCTAAATTGTCGGTCGCACCTAGAGTATCTGCACAGACGAGAACATTTGGTGGTTTAATCACCTTACTAGGAATTTCCCCTACTTCCAATTCAGAATTTCTGTAAATTAATATAATACAAATAACTTTATTCTTTTATTGTTCATTACATAAATATAAATCATTAAATATATCCTATATACCCTTTTTATTATTTTTAGATATATTACACTCACTTGCAAGTTGCTTTTTTAGTAGACTTGCTTTGATCAATATTTTCAACTTCTTCATTAGTATTGTCTTTTTTCTCCATGTCGTCAGGTAAATAAATTTTGGTTAAATCAGGTTTGTATCCTCCAGTAGCGGCAAGAAGCACATCGCTTGGCAATGCTCTATTATATGGATTTTTTACCAATCCTCCTATACGCTCATCAGTTGGTGACGAATTACATGTTGCTGGTGCTGAATTAGATGATTTAGCACCTAAAAGATGTAAAATTAAAAATATACTTACAAAATTTTTAGAGACAATTATGCATAATGCTGGTATATCAATATTTTTCTTACTTTTTACATAGAAGTCTTCCGTAAATGCTTCAGCATTCACATTTTTATCTTGTGATCGTACACTCACACCACATATAATCCCTTTAGGCTTATTTTTTTGGGAAGATACTCGAGCTGCTTCACACTTTGCATAAAAACTATCTGTAAAAGCATACAATTATTTTACACGTTAAAAGATATATTACAATAAATACAAGAGTTGAATCATTATTATTATGAACTTACTTTTATTTGGTGGTGGACCAAGGTGTCCAGTATCATTATAAATATACGGTTTTCCTGATACCAAAACAGCTGAAAAAATTAAGTAAAATGAAACAAATAAATGTCAAGTTATTGAAATAGATTACATTTCGAGATGCAAGAATAATATATACATTGAACACGTGTTAAACATAAGCCATGATTAATACAATATTGTCCTTGCATGACTCCGGTTATTAAGTTCGTAATATGTTCTATATCTGTTTCTAAAATAAAGCTCATATTCGTATCTGATGTTGTCCATGCCATGATTAGACCATAATCCTCAAGCTGTAAAATAATATGTATAAGTAAAACATGATAAATTGACTTGCAATTAGTCACAAAATAATAGTTTCAAAGCTTACATAAATTATACATGCAGAATGTGTAACAATAGAGCACAGAATGTATAACAAATAATTAAAGACTTGAGCATTGTACTTTTGCAGAGACTGTTGAGGCCCGAGATTTATAAGTTTCCATATCAACTTCGACAAGAATATGCATCTTGAGGTCAGATTTGCTTAAAATTTGACAGCAGTTACTTGCATAAAGGGGAAACGATTTTCCACTTGGATAACTCAACCAGTCAGATATATCAACTTTTTGCTGATAAAATAATAATCGTCAATTTTATTGTTTCACTTTTATAAATAAGTGAAATAATATTTGTCATATATACTTGTATACATTATACATACTTGAGGATATATAGTATATAATTTTGCATTTTCTTGAAACCACACTAATTCGTCAAGTTTCGCAAGATGCTTGTTAGTACACAAGCGAGAACTCATAAAATGTTCATCGTCATATCGTGATGCATTGCGATCTTAAAATTATTATAAAATATACATATATAATGCTTTCAAAATGCATATTTACTTAATAAATATAAATTTAAATTAAAAATTTCAATATATATAAGAACATGGAATGAATTCGATACAAAACTCTATTATTGTAATATTATTTATAATATTCATAGATCATACTATATATATAAAAAAAACAGATAATATTATTTGTTAGTTATGTAATAAAATCTATAGTATATGTATATATACAAAAATTACCTTTACTTAGGTGTCGAAGTGACTTAATCTTAAGTACAATAGAAGGATGATTCTTGCTTTCCCTAAAGATGGTATTTAAGTGTGCTTTCAGAAATGATATCCTCCGTGCTTGCATGATGGTGGCTATCATGTAAAGAAACGTTAACAGCATACTTTTTTCATAAAAATAGCCGATAATTGTTTAAAATACTTGCTAGTTTACTTTCGAATGGAAATTCCTGCCACAGATTTTAAATCTGAAAAATAAGATGCTTCCTCTATAAAAAAACATATAAGGTATAAATATACTTGGGAAAAATTTCATCTCAAATTGTCCCATAATAAAAATATATATTTTTTGAAATAAAAAATCTAAGAAAAATCATATAAAGAGAAAATAAGTGGCCTCCAACCTAAACAAATATTAAAATCAATCTGCAATTGTGCCTAAATAAATCACACACATATGAATGCACAAATATATTTATGAATATACTTATATACAACAAATATTAAATACACAAAATTTAATGTTTCTAAAGTGATTGCATCACAGTAAAGTGTTGTAAAGAATATATAATTATAATCACAGACTTTTAGTAGTTTTTAGAAACATGTTCCCTTACACTCAAAGATTCATAAAAATTAGCACGTAATGTAGAGATGATAATCTTGACCAATTTCTGTTTTTTAACCGTACATACGAGCGACATGAAAAGCCACTTGGCAAATACTAAAACACGTTATTAAAGCGAATTGTAATTGCAAAATTAAAATCGGTGGAATATCCATACGCACCATAATCGTGAACCATCGCTTTTCGCTTACGGTGAGATTAAAGTAGAGCGCAGAATCGGTAACCCCAGGTAGCCCATTCTCGAAAATATCGATAGTTACTGTGGCATTCCTAAAGACAGCCAGGAATGTGCTAGACTGGAGTCTGGACAAAACGCTCTAGATGTTCGGTATAACAGAGCTGAATTGCATAATCGTGATCTCTGTCGATAGCAACCAACAGATGCTGTTCAGCAAAAATATACGTATCATGTGATTAGTTGCAAAATAAAAAAATTTTGGGACTTGAAATGTTATCTATTTGACAGCCAACTGCACATACACTAGTCTATTCATAACGTAATAATACATATATATTCTTAGTTATCTATTAATCTATTCATGTATTTGATATAGCACGTGTTGACCGTTACTTTTGTACTTTTACAACACTAGGTCTGTTTTTTGTGGCTGAACTAGTGTACACTCTTGGAACTCTTAACTCACTCTTTAAAGTGAGATAGATATACGTTTTTGATATTTGTTTAAAGCGAGAAAGAGAGTTCTAGAACAGTCTAGTGCAAGAACTGAAAACGGACCAACTATCTATACCGAATGAGATGGATATATATTCTCCAATACTCTGCAACCTTGGAGGAAGAAAAAGAGACAATCTCGAGTACAGGAAGTGCAAGTGAACCGAGTGTACGACTCGTACGACTTACGAGTGTAGTGCAGTGTCAAGTATCATATACTGTTTATCTGATTGTCTTTTTTTTTAATTGCTGCACTTGCAGAGTTGCAGTGACTTGCAGGCATGGTACGATGGCTTACAAAAGTCTTTGCGTGAATATCATTAAAGAAAGTCGAGTACTAAATAGATATTTAAAAGCTGCTGTAACTACACGTGGTTATTCGAAAACAACAAGCACATCTTCAGAGGATGATGAGAGATCGACACACTTTGGTTTCCAAACGATTAAAGAGAGTCAGAAGGCAAAGGAAGGTGAAAATTCTATTATTTTTGTCAAATGTTTATCTTTTTTAATATGTATGGAATACTAATAGTTGCCACAATGAGTTAGACAATATTAATAGCAACAGTTATAACTTCTTGAGAATTATTATATATAATTTTATAATTATATTGTAGCTTCTTGAATGATTGGATGTGCAGTATCAAAGTTGATTCAAAAATATTTCTTGCAGTATACGCCATATTTGAAAATGTTGCCAATTCTTACGACATGATGAATGACGCAATGAGTATGGGTATCCATCGCATCTGGAAAGATATTTTTGTACAGGAATTAGGACCTACTCATGGTACCCATCTTTTGGATTCTGCTGGTGGCACAGGCGACGTTACATTTCGGTATATTAATTTTTTGAAGAATACGCCAAATCCGCATAATGTACGTAGTCATGTAACTGTATGTGACATAAATCAACATATGTTAGACGTTGGGCAAAATCGAGCAAGTAGGCTAGGTTTATCGGGGAACAGTAATTACGATATTATGTGGAAGCAAGAAGATGCAGAGAAGCTTTCCTTTGCAGATGATTCTTTCTCTGCCTATACCATAGCGTTTGGAATAAGAAATGTAACACATATTGATAAGGTACTTACAATATTGATTTATTACTTAATCAATTATAAGGTCTGTTTTCTGTGACTGAACTAGTATACACTTTTGGAACTTAAAATGAAATAGGTATATGTTTGATATTTGTCAAAAGCGAGAAAGAGAGTTTTAGTGTAGTCTAGTGCAGGAAAAGAAAACAAGACTTATTTGTGTAAAAATACTGAAATATATTGAAAGTACATTATACAGAATTTACATTTATTAATCTCTACTTATTACACATAATACCTATTACACATTTTAAACTAAAAATTATACGTATATCTGAATATTAAATTTATATTAAATTTATATTAAATGTAATTAATTAAATTTATTTGTTCATTTTTATGTCACAGGTATTGTCTGAGGCATACAGAGTATTACAGCCAGGAGGAAGATTTTTATGCCTAGAATTTAGTCACATTGATAATAAGCCTTTACAATGGTATATATGCTAAAACAATAGAAAACTTATAAAAAATAATATGCATGTAACTTATAGCAACATTTCATGCACTATCTGTTTTAGGTTGTATGATCGATATTCCTTTCAAATAATACCTGTAATGGGGGAACTGATTGTGGGACAGTGGAAAGCTTATCAATATCTTGTAGAAAGCATAAGAAGATTTCCAAAACAAGAGGATTTCAAGGTAAAAAATGCATTTTTAAAATATTTGTTTTATTATTTCTTATACATAAACTGCAATATTAAGGTATTTTGGAAACATCCCTTGATATTATTATTCTTTATTATAATTCTATGCTCACACATACACACACACGCATGCACACGCGCGCACACACACGCACGCACATTAAGCTTCCTTTTTATTATGTTATGTTTTTCCGATTTTTAATTATATTTGCTTTTCATGTTTTTCGTTATATTTTCAGAATATGATTGAATTCGCAGGATTCAGAAATGTGACCTATCAAAATCTAACGTTTGGTGTAGTTGCTATTCATTCAGGATTTAAATTATAAGTAAAATATCTTGTTGGAGCATAGAACTGATTATTTTTTTGAAGAACGAGGAAATTTACAATTATAATAAAGTATTGCCAAACAACAAATTACAGTAATATCAAAGTACAAAGAAAATGTATGTATACAAATTTACATGTTTCCTTTTAGTTATTTATTACTTTTAGTTATTTATTACTTTTTATTAATTAGTATTTATTTTTTTCGGAAAAAATTATATTTTGTTTTTTGATTATATTAGTTACTCAATCGTTGTAAGAACTAAATCATGTATTGCATAAATATACAATTATTACAATTTTATTAATTTACTATTATTTTGATTGTAATATACATACAATGTATCTCGTCAGTTTATTATACGACCATATTTCTATCACAACAACTTTCTACAATTGCATAAAATTTCTTTGTAGTATTTACGCGGTATCACCAAGATACTGGTTAAAAACCCATTTCTCTATGCTAGTACATTTCGGTCACCTATCCGAGTGTGAAATTTGCTTGCTTACTGCGTAATCGCTTTACACCTGCAATCCACCGTATTGCATAAGAGTCGTGCGACTCTTTGGTACCTCGAACATGAGGTGACGCGACTAACTGTGCCTATCGCGATTTACGTTACTACGCATTTCTACGCTTCCGTGGATCGTTCTTTCGTAATTTCGTGGACCCGAGGATACGAATAAGTACAAGAGAAAATTCTAAGAGACGGTTTATTTTAACTGAAAGAAAATTATTTATTTTAACAATATTCGAGATGGCTATTATTCCTCTTTAATTAATATCGTTTATTTATCGTATCATTAGAAAAATTTCATTTTTTTAGGGCTTATCATTTATATTTTCTTGTATCCGATTCAATAGATTCCTAGATAAGAATACTATTTAGATCACAAATTTTTCAGGTATAAATTATATTAATTAACTGACTTAATTAGAAATTATATTAGTATTATAAAAGTGAATGACAGTTATCTCTTCCACGCGCACAAGTGAGTCACAATACATGTATATATTAAAATTTTAATTGGATGGAGACCAATGAGAAATGTGAACTTTTTTCGAAGAAATAAAGATATAATCTCAAATTTGCACAATGCGTTAAGAACATCACAATTTTCGAACAGCTCGGAAACATAGAATAAGATTAATAATGATGAAAGAGTAATGAGTATTTAAAAAAAATAATTTTTGTCATTCAAAATTGTGTCACTCAAAATTATTATTTGACTTCTACTTATATTTGACCTAATTCATCTTTTATTCTATGATCTTTCTTTTTTTTTATTCTGTTCATCGCATTCTTATTTTATATAATCCATTCAATTTGCACTCTGATCAGCTTGTTTTTATTATAAATTAAAAAGATATAGCAACAACTTTGCTTATCTTTACTCATTTTTATTGATCACATTTGATGTACTATTTAGATACAAATGGTGCAATCTATCCTCATTCATAGTCAAGCTTTACATTTAAGATTATCTTAAGTACAGTCCTAACCTTGGTAAAAAGTTGATAAAAAGAACGATAGAAAAATCCTATTGTGTGAAATCTGGTTCGTGAATTCACTAATTTGAATCAAATCTGGAAATCTTATACAAATCTTATAGAATTCGATAAAATTCGATAGTATTCGTATCCGATCAATCTAATCTCGCGAGATCGACAGATAGAAAACGATATAACTTTTACAGAAAATCAATTGATAGAAATCCTATCGTTCTCAATCATTCTCTATCAACTTTTTTTACCAGGGAAAATGTCATGAACCAATCAAACGGTCGCATTAGCGACCTGATCTTAAAACATTACTTAAGACGGTCTTAAAATAACGGACTATGAATACTGATCTATGTGTTTGGTTATACAAGAAGGTAGAGAACAGGAGACAGTAAAAGAAGGAAGTTTCAACGCGCCGATAGGAGACGACCCAGTGAGAGAAGATGTATTAACAGCAGCAAAGACGATGCAAACGGATCGAAGGCCGTCGAGGCAAGGGGGGAAATTCATTCTACGTGGCGTAATATCTACATGCGTCATGCGGTGTGCTTTCTCTAGGAGGTGAAAATTCTTAACTTTCTTCGACCATAGAAACATACCTACCGCCGCCGATGATGCTTGGCACCGCGCTCCCACAGCTTTTCACGACTCGTCGGTTTGTCTATTATTGACGCATCTTCTCCTCACTTCCCGGTGTGTTACTGGCGCCAACGATTTCGCTTCGATCGACGTTCACAATACGTTATGTCACCCCCACGGGAGATTCCTCTTTTTCCTCTTTTCTAAGACCCGGCGATTTTCTAACTTCGTCAGCGTGGGAATTCATGATTGCATGCGAATTTATAACTTTGTAACGTGAACTTTTCGAGATTTACACTTTTTTTAGCATACATTTCCGAGTATCTCTTTTTATAAATTATTTATATACTAGATAAAAAGACTTATCGAGTGGTATAATACGTGCTGCGTTAATACATTACATAATTTTGCCGCTCATTCTTAAAAAAAAAATAAATTATCCTTCATGCCGGAAACTTAATAAACTAAATGCAAACAGAGGTAAAATTCGCCAAGTGATAAATTGGGAGAGATATTTCTTACCGGAAGAAATCGCGTGGTGTCGGTTATACCGAACGAAGAAACAGAATCGTGATGTAGCTTCTTGCGCACGTATCGATTTTCCTGACCCCGGTGACCACGTACCCCTTCCGCCTTGGATACTTCCTGGAAAGTATATAATGCCCCGCCACCGCTTCGGTCTACGGTTTATATCCTTCTATTCGCGAGGATCAGTGCAACGCTATTATACAACACACCGTTTCTCACGATACTCCACGTATGGTGGTCCATCCGATTGATAAACATTGCTCTCAGATTTATGAGTGAACGATGTATTAAACCAGCAATTCATCGCTTATATTAAATTAATTAACATGTACAGCGCCTGTCACGCAAGAGCATTGTATGCGTGATTATTCTTATATTATTATTTTAAAATAAAATAAAAAAGATTTTTTACACATACTCTCTTGATTTGAAAGATCAGGTACTCTGATAATATAAAATAGATATAAAAGTCTTCATTATCAATAATTGTGTATATTCTATTGTGGAGCTATTTTGATTTTACATAATTAAGTCTTGAATTAATAGAATTTTATGGACATGAGATTAATGCATATGGAATAATCATCTTAATTAATTTTAATATATTAAATATATTAATATGTATATTTAATAAATTATATTAAAATATATATTTTGGGAAGAAACAAAATAAAATATTCAAATTCTATAGCGTTTAATGGACATTGTTCTCATGCACAATGAAAACTACATTGAATTTATTTATATATACTTATACATTTTATAATATAATAAAAATATTAAAGAGCGAAAGGGTTAACTATTTGCTTGGAGAAAATTATATGATGATAAATATCGATAATTTCAGCGAAAACTCAGTGTCGCGCATAAATTACTTAATCTGTTAAAGGACGAATCGTATTGCATCGGCGTTCTAGATTACATCAGCAAACGTGAGAATTACGTGATGATTGCGCCGATTAATCGAGAGTAACAACGCGAACTTCCGAGTTGTGATATAAAGTTCTCGGGAGGTGGGATCAAGTGGGATCGAAATGCTTCCTTTTCTCTGAACTTATATAGCTTATATAGAATTAGACTTATTCTAATAGAAGTATATAAGCTATATAGTTTATATCGAAGTTTTAGGGCTGGTTCCACCAATGTAAAATTAACTTTATTCTCGATTTGACTTATTGTTTTTCAATTTACTCTTTATTTTTTGTAATTCTGAGAATTACACACAAAAAGACGAAGAATAAATTAAACCAAAATCATAAAATTAATCTTACATTGGTGGAACCGGGCCTTAAAGAACAGGCATATCTCGATAGATATAGAAACTTTACACAGTTAATATTACCTAGACGATACCCGTTCGGATCTATAGATCAATATCTTAAATCTCTCATACTCAAAAGATCGCAGTGTGATGCAATATTATATTTAATTTTCATGTAAATTAAATTATAATCATTTTCATAACAGCTCTCTCTCCATATTTTTTCTCGATGTAAAAATTAAATAAGATATATATATATATATAATGTAGAGTTTTTTGATGTAGTACAGTAATAAATAAGGAAACGTGCGATTATAGACTTCTAAGAGAAGCTTCTCATAGAGCGTTACGTAATTAGTCTGTGTTGGTTTAACCGAAAATTTATAAAGGTGATTCTACTTAATACTCGACGCGAGATGAGCGCTCGATGGCGTTTGGATACTGACGACAGTATTGGAAAGGAGAAAAAGTGTTAGATAAGGATAACTTGGCATTCGGACAAGTCTCTCTTAGTGCATAGAGCTTCTCTTCGCGGCATTACAATTATAACACGATTATCATCGCGGAAATAAGACGCCAGACTGACAAATCGACTGAAATGATAAAGAGAATACGAAAGAAAAGACTTTAATGACGCCGTATGAATTTATACTGTGTCAATATCGCGTCGCCTTTAATTTTAAAACTTACAACACAACATTGCTTCATATCTTTTTTTTGTAATTTAAAATTAAGATTTAATATCCTAATGATCTAAGTCTATTACAATTTACTTCATGTTTTAATTATTTTAATGTTTAATTTATATATTTTTTAATGTCTCTTAATATATTTTTCATAATTTTTATTTAAACATTTTTATTTTTAATTTAAATAAACAAGTTCTTTTTATAAATTTTATTTACTCTTGCTATATTTTTGATATATATATATAATCTTTTAACAAATTAAATTATCAAATTGAAAATAAGTAAGTACGATTGATCTAGATATGACAGAAGGCAACGAAATTCGTGATTTCGTAAAAAATGTGACAGATGAAGAGACGAGATGAGAAAGGAGCGAACGAAGAACGGACGTGCTCGTTGTGTTGTTACTGAGCAGTCAGCCGAAAGTAAGAGCGAAGGGGCTTGTAATTAAGTCGCGTAAGGTCCGAGGTGAACGGGAAAATTTCGATCACACGCGATTTAACCGGATGTCCCGAGATATGCCACAGCGCTCGAAGGTAGAAAGGTCTTTCTTCCTGGGTCAGCGAATAGAAGAGACTTGTTCTTCGCTGTCGAGAAACATTTAGCCCACGCGAAGCGCATATATAAGGTATTTCATATATATCTCAAGATGCATATAAATTTTTACTTATATGTATATGTAATGTACTTATATGTATATACACATAGGATGATACACATACCAGTAAAAATTTAGCTAGATACAGAAAATAATTTTGTTGGATCATCAAATAATTAAGTATGCAGAAATCTCAAATATGAGATGAAATGCTAAAAGTTTAATTTTTACATTCTAGCTGCAGCTAGCTCAAATATACTAAGTATAAGCACATTCAGGCCTATGACGGTCGAAGCTAGATCTTTCAATGCCTAAATTATTCAAAATAGCTCAAGTATCCTACACAATTATTTTCATATAATTCATTTTCATATAATCACGATAAAATTATTTTCAAATCTGTATCTAGCTAAATTTGTAGATACTTGAGGAAAATCATTTTTCCCGTATATTTTAAAACTTCGTGAGCATGTTTCTAGATAAAAAGGAAGAAATGAAAACGTTTGAGACCTAATGTTCATAGGAACATTTGTTCTTCCATTTTATCCAGGAACATGCTCACGAAATTTTAAAACATACTTATAATGAATTGACTTACCCTGTACATACATACATAAAATATTTCGGTAAAAATTTAAATGTTGCGGAAAATGTTTAATCTCAACTCGATTAAAGTTACCTCGCATAAGGAAATTATCTAACGGGGCGGGAATATACGGTTTAAAGGGGTGTTTAGTGTGCCGGAATATATTTCGTCACGAATTCAATCGCTCACGAAACGTTATTTGCATGTAGCTCATTTACCGAGTGTCATGTCAAGTGGCTGTGTACAAGCAGCATGTGCACCACAGATATATGAGAGAAGTCACCACGCTCGGCCACGAGGAATAGGACTAATGCCTATTTCCACCAATATAGATTAACTTTTATCTCGGTTCAACTTATTCTTCGTCTTTTTCTAGTTCTAAAGATTAGAAAAAGACAAAGAGTAAGTTGAACCGAGATTAAAGTTAATCTACATTGGTGGAAAAGAGGGCACAAGAAGAAGAATTAAAGACACATAATTTTCTTTCCATAATCATTTCGACAACATATTCCAACTCCACGAAACAATTCATGCTCAATATCAAAATTTTCTTCTAGAAATTTAGATCATCGGTAATCATTCAATACTGTATACAAAATTCATGTGATATTCTCATCGGTAAATATTTGCTAATGGTATTACATTTATATAAATATATATCAAAATTAATCATTCATCTAGAACGGTTAGTTCTGATGTATATCAAAACTAACAGTTTCCAACAAAATAAACATTTCACGAACGTGAACGATGAAATGTCATAATTCATCAATATTTATTCTCCAAATCCTATCGTAACTCATCAAATTTTTATGAATAGCAATGAGTATATGATTTCGAGAATAAATATTGATGAATTTTGACACATCACCTCTCGGAAGGTAGCGGCAACCTACCGAGAATATCTTCGCCAAGAATGCTTCTTTAACAAAATTTCGTCGTTCGGAATCAACGTTAAACTGTAGGCATATGACTGCAGTGTACAACCAGCGTGTGCACCACAGACACGTGAGAGAAATCACCACGCTCGGCCACGAGCAACAGGAGTGGGTACAGAACTTGGAGAAAAAATACTCATGTATTACGACATCATAATGGATACCCTCGGTGAGATACTCATTTTGTTGGGTACTGTTACTTTTGGAAGGCTTGGACTCAAATGTTGCTGATGTACTCATTTCCTTGAGTAATCATTGGTACACTCATTATGAATATGAAAAAAAAGTATTTTTTATATTTCCCAAAACATATAGAAATTGGATTGAAAAATTGCATTTTCTATCCAGAACTTTCAACTGAGTAATATTCACGATGCATTTAAGTATAAAGAACTCTGAAATCTTTTTTTAGATTCAAAGATAACGAAATTGCTTCATACAATTCCTATAAATAAATACAAATGCATTGTGCTTAAAAAGGATTCATTTCAATGTTCGCGAATGTGCCCAGTCAGAAATGATAATAGATGTCGATTCCATTATAATTTCTGATTGGGTGTATTTCTGAAAATCTGAATTTCTAATTGAAATCTACAATATTTCGCGTTAACGGGTCATCTCACTCCGCACCTTCAGCCGCGGGAACGGAGACGCTGTGCAGCCCGCGGTATCGCGGCCAGTTCGAGTGAGTTCCTATTTCGTTTCACCTTAATAA